ATATCGAAACAGTAAAAAATTGAGAATTCGAGAAGTCGAAAAATGAAAAGTCAAGAAATCAAACACTGAAGAATCGAAAAAGTGGAAAAACGAATTGAAAAGATCGAGAACTCGAGAATTTTATAGAAGTTGAAATATCAAAAAATTTAGACATCGAAATATTGAAAAATCGAGATTGAACCAATTTTAACCACTTTTTTGGAAAATTTTTGGAAATTTTGAATTCATTTTTCGTGTTTATTGGAACAGGTATCGTGACGGCGATTTCAGATTCATAACTAGCGAAAGATTATCAACAATTTGGCACTAATTTTCGGTCGATTAAACTAATTTTAACCACTTTTTTGGAAATTTTTTCGAAATTTTGAATTCACTTTTCGCGTATATTGGAAGAGATATCGTGACGGCGATTTCAGATTCGTAACGGTTGGAAGATTATCTACAATTTATCAATTTTCGGTCGATTGAACCAATTTTAACCACTTTTTTGGAAACTTTTTGGAAATTTTGAATTCACTTTTCGTGTTTATTGGAACAAATATCGTGACGGCGATTTTAGATTCGTTATTAGCAGAAGATGATCAACAATTTGGCACCAATTTTCGGCAGATTAAACCAATTTTAACCACTTTTTTGGAAAATTTTTGGAAATTGTGAATTCACTTTTCGTGCTTATTGGTACAGATATCGTGACGGCGGTTTCAGATTCGTAACTAGCGGAAGATTATCTACAATTTGGCACCAATTTTCCGTCGATTGAACCAATTTTAACCACTTTTGTGGAAAATTTTTGGAAATTTTGAATTCACTTTTCGTGTTTATTGGAACAGATATCGTGACGGCGGTTTCAGATTCGTAACTAGCAGAAGATTATCTACAATTTGGCACCAATTTTTGGTCGATTGCACCAATTTTAACCACTTTTTGGAAAATTTTTGGAAATTTTGAATTCATTTTTCGCGTTTATTGGAAGAGATATCGTGACTGCGATTTCAGATTCGTAACGGTTTGAAGATTGTCTACAATTTACCATCATTTTTCGGTCGATTGAACCAATTTTAACCACTTTTTTGGAAAATTTTTGGAAATTTTGAATTCACTTTTCGTGTTTATTGAAATAGATATCGTGACGGCGGTTTCAGATTCGTATCTAGCGGAAGATTATCTACAATTTCGCACCAATTTTCCGTAGATTGAACCAATTTTAACCACTTTTTTGGAAAATTTTTGGAAATTTTGAATTCACTTTTCGTGGTTATTGGAACAGATATCGTGACGGCGGTTTCAGATTCGTAACTAGCAGAAGATTATCTACAATTTGGCACCAATTTTTGGTCGATTGCACCAATTTTAACCACTTTTTTGGAAAATTTTTGGAAATTTTGAATTCACTTTTCGCGTTTATTGGAAGAGATATCGTGACGGCGATTTCAGATTCGTAACGGTTTGAAGATTTTCTACAATTTACCATCAATTTTCGGTCGATTGAACCAATTTTAACCACTTTTTTGGAAAATTTTTGGAAATTTTGAATTCACTTTTCGTGTTTATTGGTACAGATATCGTGACGGCGGTTTCAGATTCGTAACTAGCGGAAGATTATCTACAATTTGGCACCAATTTTCCGTCGATTGAACCAATTTTAACCACTTTTTTGGAAAATTTTTGGAAATTTTGAATTCACTTTTCGTGTTTATTGGAACAGATATCGTGACGGCGGTTTCAGATTCGTAACTAGCGAAAGATTATCAACAATTTGGCACTAATTTTCGGTCGATTAAACTAATTTTAACCACTTTTTTGGAAATTTTTTCGAAATTTTGAATTCACTTTTCGCGTATATTGGAAGAGATATCGTGACGGCGATTTCAGATTCGTAACGGTTGGAAGATTATCTACAATTTATCATCAATTTTCGGTCGATTGAACCAATTTTAACCACTTTTTTGGAAACTTTTTGGAAATTTTGAATTCACTTTTCGTGTTTATTGGAACAAATATCGTGACGGCGATTTTAGATTCGTTATTAGCAGAAGATGATCAACAATTTGGCACCAATTTTCGGCAGATTAAACCAATTTTAACCACTTTTTTGGAAAATTTTTGGAAATTGTGAATTCACTTTTCGTGCTTATTGGTACAGATATCGTGACGGCGGTTTCAGATTCGTAACTAGCGGAAGATTATCTACAATTTGGCACCAATTTTCCGTTGATTGAACCAATTTTAACCACTTTTGTGGAAAATTTTTGGAAATTTTGAATTCACTTTTCGTGTTTATTGGAACAGATATCGTGACGGCGGTTTCAGATTCGTAACTAGCAGAAGATTATCTACAATTTGGCACCAATTTTTGGTCGATTGCACCAATTTTAACCACTTTTTGGAAAATTTTTGGAAATTTTGAATTCATTTTTCGCGTTTATTGGAAGAGATATCGTGACTGCGATTTCAGATTCGTAACGGTTTGAAGATTGTCTACAATTTACCATCATTTTTCGGTCGATTGAACCAATTTTAACCACTTTTTTGGAAAATTTTTGGAAATTTTGAATTCACTTTTCGTGTTTATTGAAATAGATATCGTGACGGCGGTTTCAGATTCGTATCTAGCGGAAGATTATCTACAATTTCGCACCAATTTTCCGTAGATTGAACCAATTTTAACCACTTTTTTGGAAAATTTTTGGAAATTTTGAATTCACTTTTCGTGGTTATTGGAACAGATATCGTGACGGCGGTTTCAGATTCGTAACTAGCAGAAGATTATCTACAATTTGGCACCAATTTTTGGTCGATTGCACCAATTTTAACCACTTTTTTGGAAAATTTTTGGAAATTTTGAATTCACTTTTCGCGTTTATTGGAAGAGATATCGTGACGGCGATTTCAGATTCGTAACGGTTTGAAGATTTTCTACAATTTACCATCAATTTTCGGTCGATTGAACCAATTTTAACCACTTTTTTGGAAAATTTTTGGAAATTTTGAATTCACTTTTCGTGTTTATTGGTACAGATATCGTGACGGCGGTTTCAGATTCGTAACTAGCGGAAGATTATCTACAATTTGGCACCAATTTTCCGTCGATTGAACCAATTTTAACCACTTTTTTGGAAAATTTTTGGAAATTTTGAATTCACTTTTCGTGTTTATTGGAACAGATATCGTGACGGCGGTTTCAGATTCGTAACTAGCAGAAGATTATGTACAATTTGACACCAATTTTTGGTCGATTGAACCAATTTTAACCCCTTTTTTGGAAATTTTGAATTCACTTTTCGCGTTTATTGGAAGAGGTATCGTGACGGCGATTTCAGATTCGTAACGGTTGGAAGATTATCTACAATTTACCATCAATTTTCGGTCGATTGAACCAATTTTAACCACCTTTTTTGAAAATTTTTGGAAACTTTGAATTCACTTTTCGTGTTTATTGGAACAGATATCGTGACGGCGGTTTCAGATTCGTAACTAGCGGGAGATTATCTACAATTTGACACCAATTTTTGATCGATTGAACCAATTTTAACAACTTTTCTGGAAACTTTTTGGAAATTTTGAATTCACTTTTCGTGTTTATTTGAACAAATATCGTGACGGCGATTTTAGATTCGTTACTAGCAGAAGATGATCAACAATTTGGCACCAATTTTCGGCAGATTAAACCAATTTTAAGCATTCTTTTGGAAATTTTTTGGAAATTTTGAATTCACTTTTCGTGCTTATTGGTACAGATATCGTGACGGCGGTTTCAGATTCGTAACTAGCGGAAGATTATCTACAATTTGGCACCAATTTCCCGTCGATTGAACCAATTTTAACCACTTTTTTAGAAAATTTTTGGAAATTTTGAATTCACTTTTCTTGTTTGTTGAAACAGATATCGTGACGGCGATTTCAGATTCGTAACTAGCGAAAGATTATCAACAATTTGGCACCAATTTTCGGTCGATTGTACCAAAAAATCAAAAAATTGTAAAATCTAGAAGTTAAAAAGTTACCAAAAGTGAGATTTTGAAAATTTCAGAAATCGAATACTTGAAAAATCAACTGAGAAATCTAAAAATCGAAAAGCAAAAAATTAAAAAAATCGGAAAACCGAAATGTCAAGAAATCGAAAAATTTGAAAAATTGAGTTAACGAAGAAGTGAAAAATCGAAAAATCTAAAATTTTAAAAATTGGGACATTAAAAATGAAAAATTGAATGAAATCGAAAATTCAAAATTTTAAACATTGAAAAATGGGAAATTAGTGGAATCGAAAAATTGCAAAATGGAAACATCGAAAAATCGAGAAATTGAAAAATCGAAGCATGGGAAAATTTAAAAGTCGAGAAGTCGAAAAAATGAAAAATTTATAATAAAAAAAATCTATAAATTAAAAAAAGTGGAAAATGGAAATGGAGATTTCCAAAAATTTTGATGTATGTGAAAAAAATTCAACCCGGATTCATAAACCACAAATTTAGGACGATGGTACTTTTTAACATTTAAATAACATTTATTCGACAACTTCGTGATTTCCTAGGTGGACAATGAACAATAAATTTTGATTAACGATTTACTCATGCTTCCGAGTTTGCAAGATTTCGAAATACATATTCGATTTTGTAATTTTAAAATTAAATTGTAAAATGTTAAATGATTCACGGTTTCATAAACCACAGGTGGAGGAGTACGTAATTTCTGATAAAAATCCGGACAGACCTCAGACAGACAGGCAGACTTTCTTCTGAATTTGTATTTGAACCAATTTACTTTTCAGAGAGTTTTGAAAGAGATTATACCCAATTTTTTAAAACATCTTTACCATTTTTACACTTTTCGTTTCCATTTTGGCGATTTTTTTTAGCTAATTCTCACTCTTTCTAATACTTTTACGCCATTTATTATATTAAGCTTAAGCCATAGCTGCGCTAATTCGCTACTTTATCAATCTAGTCCTTATTTTCGATACATTTGTAAGTTAACCCTGTTAATCTTAGTTTTTTTTGCAGGGTCGCCGGTACGGTGGGGGCCATAGTGACATGTCCCCTCGAAGTGGTAAAAACTCGTCAGCAGTCGTCAAACAGTGGCTTCCACCAGTTGCCTCAGATAGCACAGGAGCCCCCCGGCGGTTCTCAAACCACGTGCCGTACCGTATATCCCGCACAGAGGCGTAGGTTATGGACCACTACACGGCACAGCCGGCCTCAAGTTGTGGCTCTTTCAGGTTACGTCAGATCTTCGTCCAATAGTATGACCATCGTCCAATGCCTGAAACACATAATCAAGCACGAAGGACCGATGGCCTTGTTCAAAGGTAACGTGTCGGGAGGATACAGTTTTGATTTTATTTGTGACTACATATTTTGGTAACGAAAAGAAGAGTTGTATTGTGTTCCTGCTCCAGAACGCTCGCGACTGCACTCCGTCACAGCCAATTAAGATGAGTGTTTGGTTGGGTGCTCGATCAAGTACGGTGGCAGCTGATCGTTCTTCCAACTCGATTGGTTATAAATAAATGCGCGTTTTTAGATAGAGACACAATTTTTCATTAGGAGATTGTTTTGATCATGACGCTCAGTTTATTTACTAAAATAAATTATCTTGTGTTGCGGCTAAATTTACACTTGGCGTCTAGTTTCCTCTGTTCATTGTATATACTACTATAATTAATTTATTGTTTTTTTCCTAACATTAGTTTCTTGTTAGAACGGTATTTGCACGCGTTGGACTGTTGAACGAATTGGCAATAAATCCAGATTTCATTTATTTTGAAATGATATAATATTGCGTCCTGCGTTTTCTAATTTTTAGTTAAAAATAGCCACAGTAGGTGGTGTTTTATTGGATTCGTATTAGTGGATCAGTCGCGATTATGGGACATGTTTACAACATCGGGGCACACCGTATGGGTGTGATAGATTTATTAAAAACAAATTTATAAAGAATCTTTTCATAGAAAATTTATTATTTAAAATTTACTCTCTACCCAGTCATTTAAAAATGCTATTGAATTTGGAAACTAGCCGAAGAAAGAATTCGAAAAATTTACAAAATTTGGACCTTAAGGTATTTGGTTCGACCCTGAACAACTGAGATTTCTAAGAAGTTCGTTACGTCCACTCAACTCTTAAGTCGCCAAAAAAAAAAAAAAAAATACGTCCAAATATTACCAACATTTTGGAAAATCTACGGTCTTTTCTTGTAAACAATCAAGTTTGGTAATGTTTGTAAGTCTAATTTAACAAATTTGTCCGCCAAATCTTTCGAATGTAAATTCACAGTTTTTGGGGTTTTTTAAGCCAAATTTTGGTTAAGTTGTTCCAATTGCAAATCCCAAAAATTCGTGAAAATTTTGGAACATTTATTGTCTTTTCGAATAAACAATCGTCAAGTTTGAAAATTTTGCGTCGGGAATTAAGCTGGTGGTTTGAAGGCTCTTGGTTCACCAATTTATAGTCGGAATGTTCCTATTTCACGCTAGAAATTCGTCAAAATATCAAAATTTTGGAAATCTCGTACTGAAAACAAACGGTCCAAAGTAAAATTTCGTCTAATGTTGATTTTCTACTTGACCAACTCCAACTCTATGGGCGTCAAAATTGCTCAAAATTTGTCTTTTTTTAATATTCTTTGTTTAAGTATTACAAAATTTTATAGAGTACAGGCGCCAAGTTTGAAAATTCTGTATTCCTTGGGTTTTAAGTTCACAGTGTTTCGACTCTAATGCGCCAAAATTTGGTGAAACTGCTCTTATTTAACGAGATTTTTCAAAAATTCGTCAAAATATTAAAAGTTTGTAAATCTCTTACTACTCTTACTCTTAGATGGGTTTTCTAATTGACCAAACTCAACTCTCAGAGCGTCAAAATTCACCGAATTTCTCAAATTTTAGTCAATGATTTACGTCCAAATATTGGTAAATTTTTTGAAAATCTACGCTCTGTTGTTGTAAACAAGAGTTAAGTTTGATAATTTTTGTGTTCCCTCGGCCTCAAATTTATAGTTTTGTGGGCCTGATCCGCCAAAATTTGTAAAAATGTAAAAATTTTGTCAATTGAAAATCATTGGACTAAAAGTTTTCGTTTCGTCCCAGGTGGATTTTATAAAAATTTTGTTGTTTTTGAGTAGTAAATCAAGTTAATAAAGTTTGATAATTAGCGTTTTTTTATTGTAATTTTTAAAAATTTGGTCAAAGTGCTTTTATTTCAAGCGTTTCTAAAAAATTCGTCGAAATATCAAAATTTTGGATTTCTCTTACCGAAAACTAATGGTCCAAATTAAAAATTTCGTCTCAAATTAATTTTCTACTTGACTAAATCCAACTCTCTGGGCGTCAAAATTGTCCGAAGTTTACTTTTGTTTTCATATTCTTCATCTAAATATTGTCAAAATTTTCGAAAATTTGTTTTTTTCTGATACATAAGCGGCAAATTTGAGAATTCTGTGTTCCTTTTTTGTTTTAGGTTCAGTGTTTAGACTCGAATTCGTTAAAATTGGGTCAAGTTGTTCTTAAGTATTTACCGAGATTTCTCAAAAATTCGTCGAAATATGAACATTTTTGGAAATCTCTTATTAACCCAAGATAAATTATCTAGACTGAAAAAAAAATCAAATCCTCAGCACAGCGACATCTTCAAATCCTCAGAACTCCATAATCCTCAAATCCTCAGAACCCCAAAATCCTCAAATTCTCAGAACTGCAAAATCCTCAAATCCTCAGAACAGCGAAATCCTCAAATCATCAGAACAGCATAATCCTCAAATCCTCAGAACACCGTAATTTTCAATTACTCAGAACTCCATAGTCCCAAATCCTCAGAGCACCAAAGTCCTCAAATGTTCAGAACTCCATGTCCTCAAATTCTCAGAACCCCAAAATCCTCAAATCCTCAGAACACCAAATCCTCAAAATCTCAGAACTCCAAAATCCTCAAATCCTCAGAAAAACGAAATCCTCAGAACTATGTAATCCTTAAATCCTTACAACAGCGAAATCCTCAAATCCTAAGAACTCCAAAATCCTCAAAATCTCCGAACTCCGTAATCCTCAAATCCTCAGAAAAGCGAAATCCTGTCATCCTCAGAACTCTATAAATCCTCAAATCATCACAACATCGAAATCCCCAAATCCTCAGAACTCCATAATCCTCAAATCCTCAGAACTTCATAATCCTCAAATCTTCAGAACTCCAAAATCGTCAAATCCTCAGAATAGCGAAATCCCCAAATCCTCAGAACTCCATAATCCTCAAATTTTCAGAATTCCAAAATCCTCAAATCCTCAGAATAGCGAAATCTTCAAATCCTCTACAGCATAATCCTCAAATCCTCAGAACCCCGTAATCCTGAAATGCTCAGAACTCCATAATCCTCAAATCCTCAGAACCTCGAAATCTTCAAATCTTCAAATCCTTAGAACACCAAAATCCTCTAAAAGTCTCAGAAAAGCGAAATTCTCAAATCCTCAGAACTCCGTAATTCTCAAATACTCAGAACTCCAAAATCCTCAAATCCTCATAACTCCAAAATCCTCAAATCCTCAGAACAGCGAAATCCTCAAATCCTCAGAACTCGATAATCCCCAAATGCTCAGAACTTCATCACATCAAATCCTCAGAAAAGCGAAATCCTCAGAACTCAATAATCCTCAAATTCTCACTACAGCGAAATCCTCAAATTTTCAGAACACATAATCTTCAAATCCTCAGAACTTCATAATCCTCAAATCCTCAGAACTTCATAATCCTCAAATCTTCAGAACTCCAAAATCGTCAAATCCTCAGAATAGCGAAATCCCCAAATCCTCAGAAGTCCATGATCCTCAAATCTTCAGAACTCCAAAATCCTCACATCCTCAGAATAGCGAAATCCTCAAATCCTCTACATCATAATCCTCAAAGCCTCAGAACCCCGTAATCCTGAAATGCTCAGAACTCCATAATCCTCAAATCCTCAGAACCTCAAAATCCTCAAATCCTTAGAACACCAAAATCCTCAAAACCTCGGAAAAGCGAAATCCTCAAATCCTCAGAACTCCATAACCTCAAATCCTCAGAACAGCGAAATCCTCAAGTCCTCAGAACTCCATAATTCTCAAATCCTCAAATCATCAGAACTCCAAAATCCTCAAATCCTCAGAACTCCATAATTCTCAAATCCTCAGAAAAGCGAAATCCTCAAAACTCCAAAATCTTCAGAACAAATTCTCAGAACATCAAAATCCTCAAAATCGCAGAACTTCGAAATCTTGAAATCATCAGAAAAGCGAAATACTTAAATCCTCAGAACACCATAGTCCTCAAATCCTCAGAACACCGTAATCTTCAATTCCTCAAAACTCCATAGTCCCAAATCCTCAAAACCTCAGAACACCAAAATCCTCAAAATCTCAGGACTCGGAAGTCCTCAAATCTTCAGAAAAGCGAAATCCTTAAGTCCTCAGAACCATGAAATTCTCAAATCTTCAGAACACCATAATCCTCAAATCCTCAGATCCCCATAATTCTCAAATCCTCAGAACTCCATAATCCTCAAATCCTCAGAACACCAAAATCCTCAAAATCTCAGAACAGCCAAATCTTCAAATCCTTATAACCACATAATCCTTAAATCTCCAGAATACTATAATCCTCAAATCCTCAGAACTCCATAATCCTCAAATCTCCAGAACACCAAATTCCTCATATCCTCAGAACCTCATTGCCTTCAAATCCTCAGAACACCAAAATCTCTCAAATCCGCAGAAATGCGAAATCCTCAAAACTTCAGAACAGATAAATCCTCAAATCTTCAGAACAGCATAATCCTCAAATCCTCAGAACTCCATAATCCTCATATCCTCAGAAAAGCGAAATCCTCAAATCCTCAGAACTCCATAACCCCCAAATCCACAGAATTCCAAAACCCTCAAATCCTCAGAACAGCGAAATGCTCAAATCCTTAGAACTCCGTAATTCTCAAGTACTTTGAAATCCAAAATCCTCAAATCCTCAGAACAGCGAAATCCTCAAGTCCTCAGAACTCCATAATTCTCAAATTTTTCAACTCCAAAATCCTCAAATCATCAGAACTCCAAAATCCTCAAATCCTCAGAACTCCATAATTCTCAAATCCTCAGAAAAGCGAAATCCTCAAAACTCCAAAATCTTCAGAACAAATTCTCAGAACATCAAAATCCTCAAAATCTCAGAACTCCAAAATCCTCAAATCCTCACAACAGCGAAATCCTTAAATCCTCAGAACCCCATAATCCTCAAATTCTCAGAACTCCATAATAATCTCAAATCCTCAGAACAGCGAAATCCTCAAGTCCTCATAACTCCATAACCCCCAAATCCACAGAATTCCAAAACCCTCAAATCCTCAGAACAGCGAAATGCTCAAATCCTTAGAACTCCGTAATTCTCAAGTACTTTGAAATCCAAAATCCTCAAATCCTCAGAACAGCGAAATCCTCAAGTCCTCAGAACTCCATAATTCTCAAATTTTTCAACTCCAAAATCCTCAAATCATCAGAACTCCAAAATCCTCAAATTCTCAGAACTCCATAATTCTCAAATCCTCAGAAAAGCGAAATCCTCAAAACTCCAAAATCTTCAGAACAAATTCTCAGAACATCAAAATCCTCAAAATCTCAGAACTCCGAAATCCTCAAATCCTTAGAAAAGCGAAATACTTAAATCTTCAGAACACCATATTCCTGAAATCCTCAGAATACCGTAATCTTTAATTCCTCAAAACTCCATAGTCCCAAAACCTCAAAACCTCAGAACACCAAAATCCTCAAAATCTCAGGACTCGGAAGTCCTCAAATCCTCAAAAAAGCGAAGTCCTTAAATCCTCAGAACCGCGAAATTCTCAGATCTTCAGAACAACATAATCCTCAAATCCTCAGATCCCCATAATTCTTAAATCCTCAGAACTCCATAATTCTCAAATCCTCAGAACACCAAAATCCTCAAATCCTCAGAAATGCGAAATCCTCAAAACTTCAGAACAGGGAAATCCTCGAATACTCAGAACCCCATAATCCTCAAATCCTCAGAACTCCATAATCCTCAAATCCTCAGAACTCCATAATAATCTCAAATTCTCAGAACACCGAAATCCTAAAGTCCTCATAACTCCATAACCCCCAAATCCACAGAATTCCAAAATCCTCAAATCCTCAGAACAGCGAAATGCTCAAATCCTTAGAACAGCAAAATCCTCAAATCCTCAGAAATGCGAAATCCTCAAAACTTCAGAACAGGGAAATCCTCAAATCCTCAGAACCCCATAATCCTCAAATCCTCAGAAAAGCGAAATCCTCAATTCCACAGAACTCCCAAAATTTTTTAAAATTTGTTGTCTTTTCTTACACAAAAGCGGCAAGTTTGAAAATTCTGTATTTTTGCTCAAAATATTACCAAAATTTGGAAATTCTGTTGTCCTTTCTAAAGAAAAAAGATTATTTCACATACCTTAGGCCTTTAATTCGTCAAAATTTGTTCAAATTGATCTTATTTCACGCAATTTCAACAAATTCGTCAAAATATCAAAAATTTGGAAGGCTCTTGCTGAAGCCAAATACTCAAGACTAAAAGTTTCGTTCAAGGTGAATTTTTTAGTTAAGAAACTCAACTCTACGCGTTAAAATTTCCCAAAATTCGCGAATTTTTGTTAATAATGTACGTCCAAATATTACCAAAGTTTTAGAAAATCTATGGTCTTCTCTTGTAAAAGAAGCGTCAAGTTTATTAATTTTGTATTCTTTCGGATGTAAATTCACAGTTTTTGCGCTCTATTTCGCCAAATTTTGGTTAATTGTTCCAGTTGCAACTCTCAAAAATTCGTGAAAATTTTGAAAAATTTATTGTCTTCTCGAATCAACGATCGTCACGCTACAAATTCGTCAAAATATCAAATCATTGAAAAACAAATGGTCCAAAGCAAAATTTTCGTCTAATGTTGGTTTTCTACTTGACAAAATCCAAATCTATGGGTGTCAAAATTGCACCAAAATTTGGTTTTTTTTAAATATTCTGTGTTTAAGTATTACAAAATTTTAGAAAATTTTTTCTTTTCTGATGTAAAAATTTGTCGAAAAATCAAACTTTGGAAAATTTTTCAGGTTCTGATTGGTCAAATTTTGGTGAAGTTGATAATTCTAATGGTGGCTTGGAAGTATTTAGGAAACAGATAACATTTTGCTCATACGTACACTAAAAAAAAAAGAGTGCCCCAAAGGTCTGTTCTGGGTCCTCTATTATATATTATGATTCAGAAATTGGCATGCTAACGCTATTTTCCTTTTTTTTTTTAATTATTTTCGCAAACTTCACCGTATTTTTTCCCTATCGCCGCCGCCACCACCGTCCAATTCAATTTCCACCGCCTCTCGCCCACTCGTTACAGCATCCTACCCAAACACCCGTCTTACATAAACGCTCTTAAACGAAACAAAAACGCTTTCAGCGTAATTGACGGACCGGCCGCCGCCCCGACGGAACTAATCGACTTCCTCTTTGCAGGCCTGGGCCCGAACCTCGTAGGTGTGGCCCCTTCGAGGGCCGTCTACTTCGCCACGTATTCCCAAGCGAAATTCTTCTGGAACGGCCTCCTTCCTCCCGATTCCCCCATGGTGCACGTGTGCTCGGCGTCGTGTGCCGGCTTCGTCGCGAGCACCCTCACCAACCCCATATGGTTCGTCAAAACCCGACTGCAGCTCGACCTGAACAAGAACAGCAACATGACCGCTTTTGAATGTATCCGCAGGATATACGCCAGATCGGTAAGTTCCGTCGCGATTTCGGCCAAAATAACGCGCCAAAGGCGCGAAATGTCGGGGTGTTGAGTAGGTGACCTTAGTGTGCCTTTTAGCGAGGCGTAGAACGTTAAATTTAAATGGGAATTATTGAAGGTGCTTTTTTCTTATTTCAAATTAAGAAAAGTCTGAATAATAATTTGGGAATAAATGTTCAAATTCAAGTTGTAAGATTATATATATTGATTAAATGAAGAACGACATTGGATTTATTTAGCTTCGATCAGTTTTTTTGATATTATAATTTTTGTTCTTTTTTCATTTTTTTTCATTTTTCAATTTCTCAACTTCCAAAATTTTTAAATTTTCGTTTCTTCAATTTTTCGATTTGCAATTTTTTAATTTTGCTGTTTTTCGCTACTACAATTTTTCATTTTCGATTTTTTTAGTTTCTCAAATTTTTCGATTTTTCAATTTTTCGTTTCCTCAGTTTTTTAAGTTCTTAATTTTTATTTTTCATTCTTCCGATTTTTTTATTTTCATTTTCTCGATTTTATATCAGAATTTTTTCGTTTTTTCATTTCCATTACTTTTTAAACGTTTCGATTTTATGATATTTATTTTTCGGTTTTCAGTGTTTCGATTTTTGAATTTTAGATTTTTTATGTCTCATTTTTTCAATTCTAGATTTTTCAATTTCCCGATTTTCCTGCTTTTAAATTTTGTCAATTTTGCACTTCTTCGATTTTAAGTTTCTCCAATTTTTCAAGTTCTTGATTTCCAATTTTTAGACTTTTCAAAGCTTTCATGTTATACTTTTTTGTTTCATTTTTAATTTCATTTTATAATTTGCAGTTTGCCATGTTTTTTATTCGAAAAGATGAAAAATCGAAAAACTAAAAGATCGTAAAAACTTGAAAATCAAAAAAAGAAAAAACAAAAACTTGCAAAATCGAAAAATTGAAAATCGAAGAACTGAGGAAGGAAAAACTGAAACATTCAAAAACTGAACTCGATAAATTTAAAAATCTAAGAAATTAATAAATAGAAAAGGAAGAAAAAACATACGTAAAAAAGTGGAAAACTCAAAAATTGTAAAATTGAAAAACTGTAACAAGATAAAAACTGAAAATAGATACATTTAGAAATCGAAAAAGACAATGAATTAAAAAAGAAGAAAAAACAAATCGATAAGAAAAATTGGAAAACCCAAAAATTGTAAAATCGAAAAACTGTAACATTGGATTGAAAAATTAAATGACGAGAAACTGAAAAATCGAATAAATGAAAAAGTTTTAAAATCCAATAATTGAAAAATGGAAAATTGAAAAAGTGAAAAAATTCGAAACAAAAATTGAAGAAATGAAAAATTAAAAATCGGAAGATTGAAAAATTTCACATTAAAAAAAGAATAATTATAAATTGAAAATATTGGAAAACCGAAAATTTTTAAAAATAAAAAACCAAAACCAAAAAAAAAATATCGTCGAAATCGAAAATTGAAAAATTCAAAAGTTAAAAAATTGAAAAATTAAAAATTGAAAACTCGTGAAAGTGCAAAATCTAAACATAGACATTCAAAAGTTGTCAATTCAAAAAACTGAAAAATTTAAAAATGAAAACTCAAGGAGTTGCATATCGTAAATTGAAGAAACGAAGAAAATGAAATATTGAAAAATTGCGACTCAAAAAATTGAAAAAATTGAAATTGAAAAACAAAAAATTATAAAATCGGAACATCAAAAGTTGAAAAATTGTAAAATGAAACAAATAAAAATTCAAAACGAAAATTTGAAGAAATGAAAAATTCAAGAATAAAAAAGTTGAAAAGTAGAATAAATGAAAAAGTGTGAAAATCCAGTAATTGGAAAATGGAAACATTTTAAAATCGTAAAATTGAAAAAGTGAAATAATTTTAAAACCGAAAAATTGACAAATCCAAAAATTGAAACGTTTTACATTAAAAAAAAGATAAATTTGGAAATCAGGATATTGAAAAATCGAAAAATTGAAAAAATCAAGAAATAAATAATCGAAAAATTTAAAAAATTGAAACTGAAAAACCGAAAGCTATAAAACCGGAACATTCAGAAATCGAATAATTGAAAAAATACAGAAATTAAAAAATCGAAACGAAAAATTGCAAATCGAAAATTTTTGGAAATCTGAAAAGTGAAAAATTAAAAATTGGAAAAACAAGAAACTGAAAAAATTGAAAAAATTATGATGATGAAATTGAAAAAACAAAAAATAAATTGGAAACATTGAAAAATCGGAACATTGAGAAAATGAAGACACAAAAAACCGAAACGGAAAATTATAAAATCGAAAAATTGAAAAAATTGAAATGGAAAAAACAAAAAGTTATAAAATCGGAACATTGAAAAATTGAAAAATTAAAGAAAATAAGAAAATGAAACGAAAAAGTCCTTGAAACGTTTTACATTAAAAATAAACAAAAATTTGAAAATCAGGACATTGAAAAACCAAAAGTTATAAAACCGGAGCATTCAAAAATCGAAAAATTGAGAAAATAGAGAAATTAAAAGAAAAAAGAGAAACGAGAAATTGCAAATCGAAAATTTTTGGAAATCTAAAAACTGAAAAATTAAAAATTAGAAAAACAAGAAACTGAAAAATTTTAAATTGAAAAAATAAAGAAAATAAAAAAACGAACCGAAAAATTGCAAATCGAAAATTTTAAATTGACGATCAAGAAATTTTAAATTGAAAAATCGCTAAATCAAAAAATTGAAGAGACAAAAAAATGAAAAATTGCAAGAGATTGAAAAACAAAAGTTAAAAATCAGAACATGGAAAAAACGAAAAATTAAAAATATTAAGAAGATAAAGAAACAAAACGAAAAATTGCAAATCGAAAATTTTAAGAAATCCAAAAAGTGTAATATTGAAAATTGAAAATTCAACAAATGTTTAATCGAAAAATGGCAAAATTTAAAGATTGAAGAAACAAAAAAATTAAAAATATTTAAATGGAAACATTGAAAAAGTAGGAAAAAAAAACCGAAACAAAAAAATTAAAATCATGAAAAATTAAAAAATGGAAATATTTTAAAAATTGAAAAAGCAAAAAACTGTAAAATCAGAATATTGAAAAATCGAAAAATTGAAAAAATAATAATAAAAAAACGAAGCGAAAAATTGCATTTCGAAAATTTTAAGAAATCCCGAAAAGTGAAAAATTGAAAATAGAAACCTCAAGAAATTTTAAATCGAAAAATTGCAAAATCTAAAAATTGAACAAAAAAATTAAAAATTGAAAAAAATTAAAACATTGAATCAATTAAGAAACAAAAAACTCATAACGAAAAATTGAAAACATGAAAAATTAAAAAATCGAAATATTGAAAAAATAAGGAAAATGAAAAACGAAACGAAAAATTTTAAATCGAAAATTTCAAGAAATCCAAAAAATAATAAAATGGAAACACTGAAAAATTGAAAAAATAAAGAAATAAAACAACCGAAACAAAAAATTAAAAGATGAAAAATTAAAAAATCAAAAAATTGAAAAAATAGAAATTGGAAATGCAAATAATTATAAAATCGGAACATTTGAAAAATCGAAAAAACCGAAACGAAAAATTAAAATCATGAAAGATTAAAAAATCGTAATATTTAAAAAATTTAAATTGAAAAAACAAAAAGCTGTATAGGAACATTGAAAAATCGAAACATTGAAAAAATAAAGAAAAAAAAAACGAAGCGAAAAATTGCAAAACGAAAAGAAATCCAAAAACTGAAAAATTAAAATTGAAAATCAAGAAATTTTGAATCGAAAATTTGCTAAATCTAAAAATTGAAGAGACAAACAAAATGAGAAATTGAAGAAACGAGAAACTGAAAAAATTAAATCTGAAAAGTAAAAAGTTTTTAACATTGAAAAAACGAAAAATTAAAAATATTAAGAAAATAAACAAAACGAAAAATTGCAAATCGAAAATTTTAAGAAATCCAAAAAGTGTAATATTGAAAATTGAAAACTCAAGAAAGTTTTAAATCGAAAAATGACAAAATCTAAAAATGAAAGAAACAAAAAATGAAAAATCGAAAAATTGAAAAAACGCCAAACTGAAAGAATTAAAATTGAAAAAACAAAAATGTTTCCATTGAAAAATTGAAAAAATAAAGAAATAAAAAAAACGAAACAAAAAATTAGAAACATGAAAAATTAAAAAATACAAAAATTGAAAAAATTGAAATTGGAAAAGTAAAAAATTGTAAAATCGGAACATTGAAAAATCGAAAAATTGCAAATCGAAAATTTAAGAAATCCAAAAACTGAAAAATTGAAAATTGAAGTAACAAAAAATGAAAAATGGAAAAATCGAAAAATTGAAGAAACCAAAAACTGAAAAAATTAAAATTGAAAAAACAAAAAATAATAAAATGGAAACATTGAAAAAAGTAAGGGAATAAAAAACCGAAACGAAAAATTAAAATCATGAAAAATTAAAAAGTCGAAATTGCAAATCGAAAATTTAAAGAAATCCAAAAACTCAAATATTGAAAAGTTGAAGAAACAAGAAACTGAAAAAGTTAAAATTGAAAAACCAAAAAATAATACAATCGAAACATTAAAAAATCGATTAATTAAAAAATAAAGAAAATAAAAAACCGAAAAGAAAAATTTCAAATCGAAAAATACTACAATTAAAAACTGAGAAATTTGGAAAATAGAAAAATTTGAACTTAAAAACTCGAAAAATTGCTAATTGAATTAGAAAAAAATTAAAGAATTGAAAAATTCAAGTCATAGCTGCGGGAGTATTGTTACAATTTTTATAATTTTTCAAAGAAACGGGATTTGTTAGGCCACACTTCAGGGGCAAGGAAAGTTCGGTCTAAACAACCTTCGACCAATTTTTCTAACGCAACGTCGTCACAAGTCGCCTATTTGGAGATTCGAGTGATGAGGAATGGCAGTGTCAAGGTTCAAAGGTTTGGAGGCTTTTAATCTCCTTATCGGTCTTATCTGGACGATAAAAATTAAAAACGCTGTTCGG